AAAGAAAAAATTTAATTTGACGACGTTAACTTTACGAAACGTGAACGTACTTTCAAGGATGACTTTTCAAAATTCAACTCGCGTATATGAAAGCCGGATCGAGTCGTTTTATTTCTCTAGATGCTCTTAAAATCGCGCGGCACATCCGACTATGCGTCGACTGCAAACAACTCGCACGAACCGCGCACGCAATGTGTCACGTACTCGGACCCGTACACGCGTGTACACACACGGATTTCCGCCGTGGGCGGAGGAATGAACTTTCTCGCACATAACTTATGCAAATTAGTCGACCATTGTGTACGGTTGCTTAATGCATTTACGAATATCAATACTTTGTAAGGTCTTGTTCAAAACGGGTGTCTCCTAACAGGCGCCTCTGCACGCCCCACAATGTTCTTTACAAGGCGCCAAACGAAGAACGTACCTATCTCATATTACACGCGCGTCATGTTATTTACAGACATGTAATTCGTTTTTATTAAACGTCAGCGTAAAACATGGGCAAAAACATTTTTTTTAATATTAAGAGGTCGAATAATTAAAGACTTTCGATTTAAAATTAACGTATCAAGAAAAGTGAGTTTTGAGAATCAAACGCGGTTACTTTTGCATGAATTAACATACGATTTGCAATTTATTATGGATTGTTAATTAAACAAAACATTAATACACGCAAAAATAACCGTGTTTGACTCGCAAAACCCACTTTCCTTGTTGCTCGTAATTTTTTACTGTGTGTCCAAGAAAAGTAAAACTTACTTGGAAGAAGATTGATAAAGCATCAATTGTAATATCTCTTTAAATTCTGAGAAAACTTATTACTGCGTAAAATTTAGATTTTACGAATCGTATCAGATTTCAAGATTTTTATTTATCTATTCTATTGAATCTTGATATACGCGAATCTTTTAATATACAATAGTATATTTTACCTACGTATTCCGATTCTTCATATGTTTTTTGTATTGCACGTTGTAAAATAAAAAAATATATAAAATTCTATCCTGAATTTTGACACAATTTGTATAAATCATCTAAATCATTTTACGTATGCATACACTGAAAAAAATGTGATAGATTCATTCAGTCGTCTGTTAGAAAATGGACGAATCAGAATTCCTTTAGGATTTACCAGATGTGTAGTGAAGTCTAGCAACTTCTGGTTATGAAATATCTTTCATGGTAAATCCTAAAGATATTCTGGTAAATCCTAAAGAAATTCTAGTAAATCCTAAAGGAATTCTGACTCGTCCATTTTTTAACAGACGACTGGTTGAATCTATCAGATTTTTTTTTCAGTGTATATGTATCTTGATATGTGCGTATGTTTTAACATGTATATTTATATACAGGGTGTACTAAAACCACCGGATATCCTTTCAATCATAGATTCTTTAGAAAATTTCAAGACGGAAATTCTAATACAAAAATGTTGTATAATATTATAGTTTTTAAATAATAAGCGATTGTATTTCACAAATGACAGGTCTGAGATTTCGCACGCTCAGGTACGGCAAGTGATAAAAGTGTTTCTACGAATGTCGCCCTTTTTAGCATAGTAACAACCTTCATGGTAACTGATATTGATCGACCACTTTGAAAACTGCAACACTTTGAAGTTACAATATGTTGAAAATTTTTACTTGAATTAAATAAAAAGGGCTACATTCATAGGAACACTTTTATCACTTGTCATATCGCCGTGCCTGAGCGCGCGAAATCTCAGGCCTGTTATTTGTGAAATATAATCGTTTATTATTTAAAAACTATTATAGCCTCGGCATTTTTGTATTAGAATTTTTGACTTGACATTTTCTAAAGAATCTGCGATTAAAAAGATATCCGGTGGTTTTGGTACACCCTGTATATTTTAAAATATTTTTTCTAGAAATCTTTTATATACATATATACTATACAAAATATTCTATTATGAAATATTCTATTATAAAAATATTCTATTCTGAGTTCTCGGGCTGCAGATCGTCTAATTGTAAAATAAGCCTGATATAAAACTTGACAGCGATTCTTCTATTTTCAAGAAGCACGAGGCATCTCCTCTACACGGAACGCTTATAAATTTTACGTTAGAAAAATAACTGTAATCGGAAGGATTGGGAAAGTTTTATAATTCTTTTAAAATGCCCAGCTGTGTAATTCTCATCTAAATATCTACACGAGAGATGCGTGGGTTGCGCGTGCAGCGGAATCGCCGTGGCGCCTCGAGACACGGAGCCGAAGTCCAGACGAAGCGCGAAGTCGAGGCCGTTAGGGTGAAATTGTTGCGTGGGCTGTGCAATAATCGAGCTCGAGCACGAAGAAGACCTCGCATATCGCAGGTTTCGCGTAAAATCGATACGCCTCACGCGTACCATCGACACACGGCGTCTGCACGCGCTTACTTCACGAGGGGCGAGATAGCTCGGAGGTTTCGTGGTGCAGCGGTTATCTACTTTACACGCAGAAGGTCGCTAGTTCGATCTCGGCCCCGGAACTACTTTTTTCTTATCATACTCGTGGGGACACAGGAACGATCCTAGAACGTGATCGTACTTGATAATTACGGGAGCGAACGAGAGCAGAGGCACCAACTAGTCTCAATTTACGGGCGATCGAGAAAAGTGAGAATTAGCAGTTAACCCTTGGGAAAATATACCTTAGAAAACCTTAAAATTTTACTTTAGAAAAATGAGAAATATGAAAAGTAAATTTGGACACTTTAAACTTTTATTTAAAATAAACTTAAAACGTATTTTAAGAATTAAAAAGAAAACTTTAAGAATTGTGCAAAGTCTGTGATGTAATTTACATACCACGTGCGGTTTTTTTCTTACGGGAAAGTGCTATGCCGCGCGGCCCTCTAGCGGGAACTTCGACAGCCTTGGCTATCTAAAAATTACTTTAAGCGTCCAAAATTACTCTAAAATGTCTTAAGTAAACTCTTAATTTGAAAGATTACTTAAAAAAAACTTTAATTTCATTTAAAATAAATTTTTCCTAGGGAAGAAGGCTACGCGAATTACAAAATTACATCCCTCATTTTTAAATTTGAAATTTGCTGTAACAACACTGCAAGTCAAGGCTAAGTTAAAGATATACGACCATAGATAGAGAAGCTGTAATATAATGATTCTTTTGATAAGAATCAATCGAGCGAAAATTTCGTCATTGAAGCATAATGTGCTGGAGGCTGACTCTGCATCCACAGAAAACACTTCCGGATCTAATGCTATTACACTTCGATCAATTCGATATATAATATAGGATCGATATAGCGACTTTATTATAAAAAATGAAATATTTAAATCTGAAATAGTAAATTCGTAAACCTAGAATAAAAAATAATGTCGCTACGTGCGTCAAACACATCTAAAGAAGATTTATTCGCAAAAATATACAAGGTGTGTAATAAGTAACTGATGAGACACCCTGTATAACCTTAAATTTATATTACGTTACTCTTATTTGAATATAGTAAGTCTAACAATAAGTAAATCAATCTTATTTAATTCAAGAGAGGAGAATAGGAATTATTGATTTCTTGTAATCTTAATATTGCTTTATTTTTTACTGTATTCTGATGACTTCAAATTTGTTAAGAACATACTTTGTTTTGTTATCAGAAATCCTATGAAGGTTAAAATTAACGGTTAAGAGGACCGCGCAAATTATAAAACAACAGTCCTAATTTTGGAGTGTGCTTTAACAACACTGTAATTCGAAGCTAATTGTAAGTTAAAGATATACAACGCTATAGATCGGGAAGTTGTGATACGATGATTCTTGGTGTTTTCATTAAGGAAGAGTCTCGACTGTGGATCAAAGATTTTGACAAAGGAATTATACATACCTACCTCGGTAAGGTCGGAAAAAACATGTATTTTTGAGATTTGTTCTTAACCTTGAAGACTTTTAAAAATAAATGTTATATTAATACACATTTGAAGGAATAAAAGACTACGAGCCGTGACAGGATGTTAATGTCTAAATATTTAATTCTCAATTTATTGCAAAAAAATATCACCTCAGCCAGGGTTTGAATCTGGACCTCCCTCTCGCTAGGCGGGCGTTTCTACCAATTCGACCTCGTAGTCCTTTATTCCTTCAAATTTGTGTCTAGCACATTTGAGCCATACCAATTTTATTTATTTGTTATATTAATAATTAAGGTGAATAATCCAACATCGCTGGCAAGAGGAAAACTTCCTTTATTAGTAGAACGTTTCGGCCATTGGTTTTGGCCCTTATCAGGTGCAATCAAACTAATTGAAACGGCTCATGGCATATGGTCAAATGCCATCGGGCACCAATTCACATTATTAAAACGCAGAACTTGTATCGCTCTAGGTACGTGTCATCGCTATAGTAGCGCGGAACTGAGATTTTATTTAAATTCTGCCAACTAATGTTCATAATGGGCTTCAGACAATCCATACTTAGGAATTGCTACTCGCATTTCACGCCACGCTCTATATCTTGAATATGCATAGCAGTAGTTGGATCCACGAAATTTATGATTAACAACGGAGGTCCACCCTCCTTATCGGCGAGGTGGATGCGGAAAGGGAGGTCGAAGGCCCCCTTTGTACCCCCACGCGCGCTCGTGTGTATGTGTCCTTCTTAAACGTACATGGTATCGTAAACTACATAGCATTTATGGCTTATAGAAAATATTTACCTCGACTTAAAACTTGCGGAAAATATTTTTGAAATAATGTACATTGACCGGCAATAAATCGTTTTGCGAGAGGGGAATTGTTGATAATTCGTCGATTGGCTAGAGTGGAGAAACAAGTCACTTCCCTTCTTACGAAACGATTCGTTGCCGATGACTGTACTTTAAGAAAATATCAAAACCCAAGAATCAATTTGTTTTAAGTTTTCAGGTAGGTATAATCCCTACGTAATGCGCTCTAGCTCTGTACGCGGATAAACCGTGTTATCGCGAGTCATAAATTTCGAAATCTCATTTCGCATGCGAGTTCTAATCGTAAGGTCTCTCTTTGCAGATGTCTAGCTGACGGGCCGATTAAGAAGAGCTGCGATGCCGTAGTCGTCGCTATGAGCGAGAGCCGGTGCTACACGGATTCGCCCGTGCTCGCCGAACATCAGTCCTTCAACCGTAATGGGAAGGCGCTTAGGTACGATTACCATAAGTGCATACCACGCCAGCGTGTGTGCTACGCCGACCTGCGAGCTTAATCGCCTGCGACAGGGCGGGCGTTGATCGTGCTTTGATTTATAGCTCATAATTGAAGAGTATAATTCGAGAACGACCGGCGTCACGGCCGTTCCTATCAATGCACTTGTTCAGTGCAGCGCGACAGATTAGGTCTCGAGATCGCGCTGGAAGAATTTTAAAGCAGAGATCTGTCGAAACTTGAGTTTCAGAGGATTTTCTCGAAACTCAAATTAGAAACTTTGCGAAACCTGAAAACTCTTGAAACCTCAAATGCTAATTTAAAAAAAATTATTTTACCGGTACCCTAACGGAAAAAATTTCTATAAATAACTACAAAAAGTGACTTGAAATAGAAATTTGTAGAAATTTTTATATCTTCGTTGACGCATTAATTTTTTTGTAAAAATATCTACGAAATAGTACCACAAATTACAATGTTCTCAAATCAAGAAATTATTGCAAGTAGTATTCCATGAGAATGTACAATTTTGTAAAAATTAGTACAAAACTTTACTAGTTTTAAGAATTTAAAAAACAACAAATACTTGTAGAATATTACAAAAATGAACAAAAGTGTTCCAATTCTAGCATTTTTATATTGATTTTTATAACACTTTTTAAATTTACGTAGAATTTTGGACACTTAAAGTAATTTTTAGATAGTCAAGCCTGTCGAAGTTCCCGCTAGAGGGCCGCGCTTTCTCGTAAGAGGGCATAGCACTTTCTCGTAAGAAGAAAACCGAACGCGATATTATAAATTACAATATATCACATACGTTTCACACAATTCTCAAAGTTTTCCTTTAAATTCTTAAAGTAAGTTTTAAGTTTACCTTAAATAAAAGTTTAAAGTGTCCAAATTTGCTTTTCTAAAGTAAACTTTTAAGGTTTTCTAAGGTATATTTTTCCAAGAGCTCAACCAAGTCTTTCCAGAAAATTAAGATGTAAATCTTTATTAAACATAATTACATAAAGATCATTATATTTTAGAATAAAAAAGAACTAAAAATTAAACTGAATAAAAATTTCGACGTCTACTCAATTGCTTGAAGAGTAAGCTTGTATTTCTTTATTATCGCCACTGGACCACTTGGAGAAATGTTTAGTCCACCAACAGTTTTGTTTAAATACACCAACATCCGCGAGTTACGTTCACGTCTTTCGAAAATTTCGAAAATAGCTCCAGGTTTTAAATCCTCGAAACTTGAAACCTTTTTGAGTTGCGAAAGACTCGAGGCTTCGAGCATCCTCTGAAAAACATTTCCTTGCGGAAAAATTGTTGAATGCGTCACATCGTACGCTAGCTCTTTATTCAAGCAAGATTATCCGCGTCTGTATCCTGCCGGAAATAATTCTACAAAATTCTACAAAAAAAATATACTACCAGAATCTAAGAAATTCTACGTAAATTTAAAAAGTGTTACAAAAATCAACATGAAAATGCTAGAATTGGAACACTTTTGTTAATTTTTGTAATATTTTACAAGTAAGCAAATGTTTTAATTTTTTAAGATTTTGTTGTTTCTCAAATTTTTTAAACTAGTAAAGTTTTGTACTAATTTTTACAAAATTGTAAATTTTCATGAAATACAACTTGCAATAATTTCTTGATTTGAGAACATTGTAATTTGTGGTACTATTTCGTAGATATATTTACAAAAAAAATGTTTCACCGAAGATACAAAATTTCTACAAATTTCTATTTCAAGTCAATTTTTTGTAGCTATTTATAGAAATTTTTTCCCCTAGAATAGTGTGACATTAGGATTATTATTACAAAGAGTTACAACAATTTACATGCTTATCCTTTGTGACCTGGCGTTTTACATTTTACATTTTACGTAGTAGCCATACAGTCGCATGTATAGCGATAACGAATCCTCACGGGCTTCCACTAGGCTTATTATATCGAAACCTCTTCTAAATCTCCGCTACCGTGGCATTGTCGGTCGCGATAACGTCGTGAGAGGATGTCCGATCAGATTATCGATCGAATTATGGTCCCCGATTTAATCAGATTATACCGCGGAATTCCAGCTCGCGTTCCTGTATCGTAAAGTGGACTTAGAGAGAGCTAAGGCACAGGACCCGCGCCTCTTCTTGTCCGCCGGAGACACTAACGAGGGTTGATTTCAGGGGATCTAAGAAGAGCGTGCTGTTCTATACGACCGACTGTGGGGACGAAAAAGAGGACCTGGGTCTCAAGCTTCAGCAGCGATCCGTCTCGCTGGTAAGCCCCGCATTAGCATCAAACTTAAGCCTGACTGCGTACGTCGCGTGGCCTTGTATCAATATCTTGTATAATTAGTATAACTAACTGGTAAATGTCTGGTAGGAGAGTCTATCAGCTTGCGTAAGACGCGTATATCTTGTGCAATCGCAAATCCTCTCTTATAAACGCAATAAGAAAATATAGAAAGAGCATGTCGTGATTTAGGTACTAGTTTCATAAACGATCTTGATTGCTTCCTGTTTTCGTGATTAAAGATTGCAGACTTGTAATCAAGCATATTAACGCGTCACTGCCGTCTAGAATATTGTAACTTGCAATTTTTATTTTAAAATTGATTATAAAATTGTTGAATTCTCGACGTGTGAGGAGGGAAGAGAGAAATTTTTTTATTAAATTATAATAGAAAAAGCCTAATTTAAAATATATATTCAATATGTATACATATATGGTATATAATATAATATTTAACGGAACTTTAATAAATTAATAAGCTCAAAAAATTATTTAAAAAGATAATTTACTAAACTTCCGTTAAGCATTTCATCTAAATGCCTATGTCTGGGATGGTTTTTTTTAATGCTAACTACGTAAATTAAAAGATTCTGTTTCTTTCATTTTTACTTTAATGCTGCAACTTTGGAGAAGCTTGCGCTTCGTAATCCATTGCACACTCTCTGCGTTCGAGTAACTTTACAGAGATCACGGTAGCTTTTTCTGCTTGGAAAAACAGCAACCCGTCGGTTTCCATCAAGCCCGACACTTTCGCTGGATTATCCGGTGCTTGTTATTCAGTGGAGGCTTAATGACGTGCGGTACTGAAACAATGTAGTTGCAACTGACACTGAATTATATGAAGCTCCATATACTGTCAAAAAAGTACGTGTCTTCTTGTCATAAACTATGCCGGTGAAAATTTTATGTTAAATATTTAACACATTTACGTGTTAATTTAACATACTCAACTGAAAAAAGTGAAAATTAACACTGTAACGTATGGAGGCGGTTCCCTAGCCGCGTATGGATATACTTAAAAGTTTTATATTATCCGCACGGCGCGGCGTAGGGATACACACGAAGGAGTTAAGCCTCGTCTACATAGAAGTCGTAAAGTTGCAGTCGTAAGAATAGTCGACTATGATTGGTTAATTCTTATGTGTCTGACTGAATTGACCAATTACAGTCGATTATTCTTACGACTGCGACTGCGACTAAGACCCAGCATTATGCGTGGTCTACAATGCGAGTCGCAGAGTCGTAGTCGTAAGAATAAACGACTGCGATTGGTCAATTTCGTCAGACACATAAGAATTGACCAATCATAGTCGACTATTCTTACGACTACGACTTTACGACCTCTATGTAGACGAAGCTTTAGTTCGTTAAGAAACAGGCTACAGATTGTATTGAAATAAAGCACAATTCGTAATATTGAATACGCTAAACAACGAGTCACGGACCACTGCCCCGCTACCTCGGATAGACATTAAGAGATACAACATATTTGGCGACAAGGGTAAATTGAAGCCGGGAAGAAAAGAATCTCATACATATGTAGAAGAAAAAATGTGAGGTCAAAAAGAAAATTGTCCACGATAGGTAATCTAAAGCCGTCCGATCCACCAATAGACGACATCAAGGTATGGATTCTCACTTTTAACACATTTTTGCTATCGAATAACATGGATTACATTCCATTAAGTCCAGAGGAGGAATTAAGTTCCACGCAAAGGTTGATGGCAAGAAAATGCATAGCAACCTTATTGTTCACACTAGGTTTGTCGGTGGTAGGACATTAATATCCTTACTTTCTCCAGAGCAACCGGAAGAAAAGACCCTGGAAGAATTATTTTCAACTCTCAGAACACATTACAAACCAGCACCAAAAGCATTGACGGAAAGATATCGGTTCATGAGTAGGAAACAGAATCAAGGAGAATCAACTGCTCAATACCTCGCAGAACTTCGTCGTCTAGCCATAAACTGTAAATTTGATACAGATCTTGATACACGTTTGAGAGATCAATTTATATTCGGTTGTGTAACGAAGTAGCACAAATACAGCTCTTCATCAGACCGAATAAAATAACGCTAGAAGAAGTTGGTCCTATAACCACAGCACATGAACTTTCGGAACAAAGCCTATCACTCATTCGTGGAAGCACTCATCAAAAGGAAGAGATCAACAAAATAACAATCCAGTGAGAAATTATTTGTCGAAACGACGTCGAATCGACCATGATGTAAAAAGAAAGGTGTATCATTGCGCATAGCGGCGGCGGCACGATGAGCGAGCCAATGAAATTTGGGTCCAAATGCACATGGACTACTGCAAGAAAGGTGTATCATTGCGCATAGCGGCGGCGCACGATGAGCGAGCCAATGAAATTTGGGTCCAAATGCACATGACTACTGCGCATACACGATGTTGTTACACCTTTCTTTTTACATCATGGAATCGACCTCGAAATGACAATGTCAAATTCACATCGAAATTCGCATCAATTCGAGTGTTTTCTGACCCCCCAGTTCGATATGTTTTCGATATCGAATTCACATCGATTTGGATCGATCGCCATTTTGACAGATTTCGATATTATTTTGACTATACTGAAGGCGCCAAATAATGCCTTCATAAATGAATTTATGTATACAGGGTGTACTAAAACCACCGGAGGTCCTCTTAATGACAGATTCCTTAGAACATTTCCAGACGAAAATCCTAATACTAAAGTGTCGAGGCTATAATAGTTTTTAAATTAGAAGCGATTTTTTCCACAAATGATAGGACTGAAATTTCGCGCGCTCAGGCACGGCGAAATGACAAGTGATATTGTAAATTTATACAATAAACATAACATCATAAAAAGAGCGATATTCATAGGAGCACTTATATCACTTGTCATTTCGCCGTGCCTGAGCGCGCGAAATTTCAGCCCTATCATTTGTAGAAAATAATCCCTTCTAATTTAAAAACTATTATAGCCTCGACACTTTTGTATTAGGATTTTCGTCTGGAAATGTTCTAAGGAATCTGTCATTAAGAGGACCTCCGGTGGTTTTAGTACACCCTGTATATCAATACATTAATATATTTTATACATACGTACATAAAAATGTATATACATGTATATGTTCCGATATGTGTACAAATTCATTTCCTAGTGAGAAATGATTCGTCGATCGACGTCAATTTGACGGTGTTGATGTCGATTCGACGTCGTTTCGACGTCGATCGACGAATCATTTCTCATTGGGTTATGAAGGTATATTATATTGATGCCTTTAGCACTATGTCATCGATATAGATCAATCTCTGTGTTTTTTCAATGTCATTTCGGCTTTAGGATCATGTTAATCTGGGATAATTGTAGTTTTGACACCGTTTCGAAGAAGTTTCAATGTTTGAAGGATATTTAGCTTTAGGTTTGAACATCTCATTTTTCCCTTCATAACATCTCCATTTACCTGTTAAAGCCCTATAAATATATGAAAAAACTTAAGATTTAAGACTTTAGAATTTCATTTATATTGAATTAGCGCTGCTTATCTCGATTATATTTATTTTCCTTGAGTCTTAATTTAAGTCTTGCTGCTCAAGTTTTTTTATGTATTAGGGTACTTATTACATTATTTAAATTCCTTACAAAAAATTTTGTAAACAATGTTCATACAAACAATTTTGTGCCGTACAGTCATGAAGTAAAAGGTTGCAACAGATTATAACACTTTTTTAATAAGTGTTGAAATGCGCAGCTAAGTTCCCTGAACTTAATTGCTCTTTTCTACACTCATTGAAACTGTTGCAACCTTTCTTTATTCACGGCTTTATGTAGTATGTACAAACAAAAGTAAGCTTTTTGCCGCGCTTATAAGCACGCTCTGTCTTTGTTCAACTTTTAGTAAGTGATAAAGACAGAATCATGGTGTAAAAATATAGAATAGAATAACGCGTGCTTTCAGCGCATATAATAAGCGTCAAGACGAACTTTTAGCCATAAAATCTCTAAAGTTTTATGTATAGAACAGATTTTTAAACATAATTAATATGTTACAGATTTCTTTTCGTTGTATCGAAAATTTCAATATTTCGACCTCATTTCGATTTTATACAAAAATCAATAACCATATGGCATAAGCCCAAAAAGGCATTTTGTTCATTTTAGACAGAAATAAATTGTTTTCTATGCATAATTTATCATTTACAATACATATAGAAAAATCGACAATTTCGAGTTCTGTTTCACAATCCGCGCGTTGATCTGAAATTGAGGACATCGAATCGACATCGATCGACGAATCATTTCTCACTGGGAAGTAATATATCAAGGCAGAAAGAGAATCAGTACAAGAAGAACGGAAATTCTTCGAATAATTGGAAATCCAGGATGTACAAAATGCAGCTCAACAGATCACGATCTATATAATGGTCCACACAAGGATTCCAAATGCTATAATGCGTGTGGGAAACGAGGGCATTTGGCCTTTAAATGTAGAAGCAGCTCACAAAAGCAAGGTCAAGAAACAAAGAAGCAAACTAAGCAAAACAACATAATAGATATTCGAACAGCAGAAGTACTGTCATCCAGTCAATCAGAGCAACGGAAAATATGGATTACTGTAAAAGTAAATAAAATTCCTCCGCGGAGCCAACCACATTTTTATTATTCTCCCGCCTACGTAAGTTGGTTATGGTTGACCTGACAATGTATTACTGTTCTCATAGACACAATATTGGTCCATTCAACTTATGATATGGTTGTCTTAAACCACAACGAGCTTTTAATTTGGTAAGGTGTACTATAAATATTGCAATAACAACCACAAGTAAAATTTCGAATAACTATATGTAATAGTATTCGATAATCGTATTTATATTGGAAGTAATATCCCCTGCTTTTTTTTGCGTTCACTACGTTCATTAGAAATGTAGTTAAATTTACTGTTATTGTGATTGTATTAACTAATTTACTATACATTACCTGAATATTTTAACAGAA